ATAATTTTTTGCGCCGTACATATGGTCTCTCGCGGTTCGGGCGGGTGGTAATGACAAAAACGGAGTAGTACGGGTGCGGTCGGATACTTGTTGTTACCTGTTTGGATAATCATTAATTTTTCTTCGCGTCTCTGCAGTCGGACGTAACTTTTTTTTATCTTTCGTGAAAATCGTGCAAAGGTAGTGCCAAAAAAAATTTCACCCCCAACGTGCCCATCCAATTTTCCAATAGCCATGTAGCACGGCAACAATTTACATCAGTAAACAAGAAAAAAGCAAATTTTTTCTCAACGTTATACAACAAGAGCACAAGAGAAACATGCACCTAAACATTTTTTATCCACAATGCTAGATTCCCATTTGTATAGTTTTAGACCTACAGTCAGTTTGAAAACGTCTGAACCGCATAACGTACAGCCACTGGTCATTGGTGTACGTAGCCATTAGCGAATTGCTTGAGTACTCGAGGCTTGGAGTACAAACAGGCGTCTGTACTCATTAGCAGTGCAAACACGCTAAACTGGAACCCATAGAGTGTGGCAATTACGAGCGACAGTCTCTGAGCGGTTCTGTCCATGTATATAATATGTGTACACAGGACGAGAAAAAAAAAAAAAAAAAAAAAGCGTGTCTGCGAGCTAGCTAGCATATTTGCACTTGCGGAACATATGTGGTAAAAGGGGACAAGAAAAAGGCAGGGTGGGGTGGCCTCTGCAAGTGCCACCTTTTCTTTTGGCTCTTATTTTTTCCTTGCACCAGCGAGCCCGGCGTCTCCGTGACAAGCGGATGATGGGCCTTCTTCTTCGTCACGTCGCGTCACGAAATTGGTGCTCGGCTATTACGAGGCTATTAGCCACGTGGTCGTGACTCTCGTCTGCTGCAAACGAGCTGACAACGTATACGAAGCACGCGGACGGACGACCAATCGTGAAAGTGTTTTTTTTTTTTTTTTACTAGTATGCGGGTATAAAAAATTTACTACAATGGTTTATCCTGTGCGCACTTCCAAGGAATATCAATCAACGTGTCTCTGACTTCGTACATCTCTAAAATCATCCTGCCGTACTCACGTATCATCTGTCGTATATATGAAGAAACATAACAATAGTAATCACTTGGAAGTTTCATTTGGGAAATTCTTCCATTTTTGTGTTGGAATTGAGGTAATTTTATCTCTGTCGGGTTTAATCGATTCATCGAAACATCATTACGTTTGAAAACGTTACAGATTGCCATGATGTTTAAGCGAAAACGAAGCTTTACATAGAAATAACAACAACTCGAGCAACAACTGTACAAAAACGACAATATTTATTTTATCAAAGGGTTATTTCAACAATCGCGCAATGTATATACGAGAGATGAGGGAAAAACAACGTATTTTACTACTTATTTTTGGTACTTAATTTATTGTCGAGTTTTGCGCTTTTTTCTTGATGATTTTTGCCAAATTTTTCTCGTTCTAAAAATAAAGCTACGCAAATTAATATTATTCACCATTAACAGTTTAAAATAGTACACTGCATGGCACGTAAGTAAGATATTTATCGAAAATACACGCCAGTAACATTTTTTCAGCTTCTTCGCTGATACGTATTTTTCGTTGAATAAACAAAATTATCAATTTGTTTTTCATCGTAGTAATTGAAACGTCGTGGAGTTCAAATTGTCGTGCAATTTTGCCGTAGGTTTTATGGTAAAAGTTTTTCTGGTTACACGCCTCGATAATCTCTCTTGAAATTGTTTAAAGTTTATGATCAGGAAAAGGGTGAAATAGTTTTAATATATTTTAGTTTTTTGCTTTGTTTTATTTTTTACTCGTAAAAATATAAAACACCCAGTACAGCTCTAAAACCTGAGACATTAAAAACTACCTGGTTCGAATGAAGACAAATCCAAATATATCTGACTCTCCGTCAATTTATCACAGCGATGTCGCGAGACCGATTGATTTACTTTATTTTCTTCGTGCCCTCAATTCTCTTCTACTCCGAACCGTAAATTACGCGTACGTCAATTACCTTTTGTCGTCATTTCTCTCTTGTCTTTATTTTTCACAACAATTTGACCAAACATTGAATTTCAAGGACTATTTTTCTCACCCATAACCACTTATAATAAAATCAGGTCTGTACACTTTTGCCGCCTTACATGCTAGTGATAATATGACGAACGAACGAAGACGTTACTCCAAAAAATGCCACACTAAATCTCCTTTTTTTATTCATGTATGCTCCTTTTATTTGTCCCCTCTGTATAATNCTTAAAATCCTGAAAAAAAAAAAAAAAAAAAAAAAAAAAAAAATAAGAAAAAGAATTGAAGAGAAAGAAAGACAACAACAATTGTCGCGAGGGTATAATACAGTAGCAGAGAAAGTTGAAAAAGTGGTTTTACGACTCTGGCAAGAAATATAGGGTGTCGTGCTGGAACGACTCATTGAGCCATTTATACATATACCTCTCGTTCACCAGCGACAAATACAATGGTATATACTCGAGGCGACGATCTTCTATAAATCAAAATTACCACGAAAGAGATTAGAAGAAAAAAAAAATCATGTTAAAAAAGCGACAATGCATGCGCGTGTGTGCGAGGCAAAGACAAAAGAAAATAATTAATGTTACAAACGAAAAAAAAAAAAAAAAAAAAAAGAAAAATAAATCGACGTCACATCCTTCCGCGTTCTTTTGGCAAACAAGCCCAACAGCGACGTCGCGATAAAGTGGCAACGACCGAATTCCGTCCGACGCGTAAGTACAGCCATTCGCTCGAGCAGGTCATTTCTCTCTCGCGTACCGTCGTCAACCTCTACTTCTTCTTACATATATATATTTATTCGACCGCGACACACATTCTCCACCCTCCCTGTCCCCCCATTTACCCTTTTACATATGCACGCTCGAGCATGACCGGGCCATCCGCGCTCCGTATACACGTGTGCAGGGCCGTGCAGCCACTTGTATTATCACGGAGCTCTTCATTCGTCTTCGCCTCCTTCTGACTCGTGGCTCGGTTATACTATCCTTCGCGAGCAAGCCGGAACCCTTACCTCCTCTCGCGAGTTTTATTCTCGGGCACCTTGGGGCGCGCCGAGGAGGGAGGAGGGGGGTGAGAGCACACGAAGCTGACCCAGTTTACGTCTCTCCGTCGTCGTTGCCACCCCGGTGTTTCGACGTTGAAATTCAAGGGGGAAAAGCCAGGGGCACGTTCGTCGCAGAAAATCCCTCGGACGGTTTTTTGTTCCCCATTTTTTTTCCTCTTTTTGTACATGGTTTTGCCGGACATGTGGGAGAATATACGGAGGGTTCGAGTGGTTTTTTCGTTGTCGGCCCCATTGCGTTGGAATTTTCAGTTTTTTTGTACTTTCGCTCGAATAAAAATACTTGTTTTTGCGAAGCAATTTGTTTTTCGTAGATTCATTATTACTGTACATATTAAATCAATCGTTTGCTAAATGACTGATTATTAATATATAAAAATTTTTTTCTTTCAAAGATTCGGGTGATGAAAATTACATTTACATTGCACCCCTTGCATCAGAGTAAGCAAAAAACATATATTCGTGATCAAAGTCATTAAAGCAGTTCTTGTGTTGTATAAAATTAAAAAACAAAAAACAAAATTCTTCACCATTTCGATACACGAAGATAAATACTTAGTGCAGAAGATACTTACTTTGTGAAGTTCAAATATTTTTATAGATTGATAACCAACATGTATGAAAATATTGTAACTTTCAATTAATACTATGATATCACTAATAATTTTTTTCAACTACGTGAGAAAAATTTTACTTCTTGCAATGTTTGTAGGGTACGACGTGTTAAGTATGATTTTGAAAAATTCTAATCTTTGTAAAAGTCAGTGTTAAAACTGCAACGTTCAACAAGTTTTTATTTTCTACGAGGCTCCTAATAATTAAAATTTATATGCTAAAGTTTATATTATTTCTGGTATATACTCACTAGGAATTTATTTTATTTTGACTCGTTTAGTAGATCTTCATGAATTCAGTAAATCGTAACACCAAACAATAAAAATTATTTCATTAATTTAAAAAAGTAGCCATTGAATTTTTTTTATTTTTTTATATTTTTTTTACCTTTGAAAACAAATAAATTTACCGAAAAAAGGTGCAAGAATATTTTTAAACAAAAAAGTGATAATAATAATTCAGCACGTTGTAGAAGCGCGTGTGTCGATGCCATTTAGCAAAGGGTAGTACGTACACTAGATCCTGATATAATTCGCGAGGGTCAGTTACTAGATGTAGTTCACGTGTGCATGTATAAGGGTACTATTTGGCGTCACGCGAAGATTTTCCAAGGCTTTGTACTTGTGCTTATTTTGTAAAGTGTTGCAGGCAAACATGTGCCACATTTTTCTTTTGAAATACTTGGTTTGCACAATGAAAAAATATAAGTGTATTCAATTTTTTTTTTTTTTTTTAATTACATACGATTGTGTGAAAAAACGCTGTTATCACTTTAAAAATTGAAGTATCTAAAGTTGCTCGTGTAGTTAAATATTTTACAATGCTGTATAAAAACCTTCATTAAAGTTTAATCGTGTATTATTTATGGTCTTGGGTTATATGGCATACCACTTTATTACTTACTGAGGACTTTAAAGTGGAATGAATGTATTTAAAAAAATGCGTATTAGATATTTATTTATTTATCAAAACAAGATTGATTTTTAAAAGGTGCAGTAATTTTTTAAAAGTTCACGATTCAGTAGATAATATTTTCTAAAAAGATTAATCGTGCAGTATGTAGTAGCACTTTTAGAACGATGAAAAATATTTTCGCACTAAAAAAAGCCGAAATATATTGTTCGTTTATTCATGATCAAATATCAGTTGGTAACGAATATTGTAGACCATAAATTAGTTCTTACACACATCAGTTTGTCATTATAAATTAATTAAATATGTCTGTGGTTGTTTTATGGCTCTCATCTACTCTATTTTATTCGTTATTTATATTTTTTGTTACAGGAATTCTTACTTGCGATCGATGTAACGTCTAGCGGAACGCCGGAAGAAAAACTCAAATGGGCATTTAGAATGTATGATGTGGATGGAAACGGAGTCATAGATATCGAAGAAATGACAAAAATAGTTCAGGTAATGATAAACAATCCAATTTATTTTTCAAACTTAATTTATTTTTTATTTAAAAACCAAACTCAATACCATTAACCTTATCGATGAACTATTTATCAAAGGGTTATTTCAACAATCGCGCAATGTATATACGAGAGATGAGGGAAAAACAACGTATTTTACTACTTATTTTTGGTACTTAATTTATTGTCGAGTTTTGCGCTTTTTTCTTGATGATTTTTGCCAAATTTTTCTCGTTCTAAAAATAAAGCTACGCAAATTAATATTATTCACCATTAACAGTTTAAAATAGTACACTGCATGGCACGTAAGTAAGATATTTATCGAAAATACACGCCAGTAACATTTTTTCAGCTTCTTCGCTGATACGTATTTTTCGTTGAATAAACAAAATTATCAATTTGTTTTTCATCGTAGTAATTGAAACGTCGTGGAGTTCAAATTGTCGTGCAATTTTGCCGTAGGTTTTATGGTAAAAGTTTTTCTGGTTACACGCCTCGATAATCTCTCTTGAAATTGTTTAAAGTTTATGATCAGGAAAAGGGTGAAATAGTTTTAATATATTTTNGAATAAAAACTTATGGTCACATTAATATGCATGTGTCAGAAGTTTAAAATTATTATTTATTGCTATAATAATACCTACAAATTATACATAAGAAAGAACGGACTTGCTAGGCTCATATACATTTCATTTTAATATTTAATGGGAGCTTTTAAGAATACGAATCGTTCCAGATTAAAAGTAGGAACTACAGTGGTTCACTTGTATAATAAATAATTGATAAACTAAATGACTGGCTTATTTGCGAAAAAATGTACATTCTTTACCAATAACCATTGAAGTAATTTTTTCTGTAAAACATATAAAATACAGATTTTATGTTTTTTTGATCCCAATATACCCATGTTGTTGAAAAGTTCAACCCTTTATAGTTTGTTTTTGCTGTAGTTCAAGTTAAAAGCAAAATCGATCTTTCTGGAGATATTGACAATGTTATCGGTATACATACAAGCACATTGAATACTATGTAAACTTTCACAGAAATGGAGAATTAAGAAATTTGATACTACGCATTTCATTAAACTCTGTGGCAATTTTTTTTTTTTTAATGAATACCTCGAATATTAGGTGGTGTATCGTCTCCAATTTTCGTAAGAACATTTTCTGTGTATTTTTCCCGTACACAAACTTATTAATTATATTTTTCCGATAATAGCCTGACCATATATTTATGCGTCTCCTTAATTTTGATACCTACCAGATTAGTAACAGTAGTCGGGGGTGCCATTACCACCAGGGTAGCTATTGCATAATCCAGAGCTCAATTTTCTCCGGCCTTGGAAATATAAATTTCTCTATTTTTTAGATTCTCTTCATCTTTTTTCCCCTCGTGATGGGCGTTGTAATAATCGATTTTTTTTTTTAATAACTCCCAAATGGATTCTTGTAGCAATTAGTGATTGAAACCCAACAAACTTAGTAATGAAAAAAAACGGTGTCCCCCGTTTCGCGTGTTCGCAGGCGATATACGACATGTTGGGGGCGAGCTCGAGCAACCGGCCGGCCGACAGCGCCGAGGAGCGCGCGAAAAACATATTCGCGAAAATGGACGAGAACAACGACGGCCAGTTGACGCAGGACGAGTTCCTCAAGGGCTGCCTGCAGGACGAGGAGCTATCCAAGATGCTGGCGCCTTAATCCCCGGGCCACCCGCGCCTAATCACCTCGTTGTCGCCCGTCAACGCCAACGGCCGACCCAACGGCCACCGCCTCTTCACCAGTACGACCAACGGTGCTTTCATCACCAACAAAAGCAAACCTGCTGCTGCCAATACTCTTGCAACTCATACATACACCCACCAATCGATCAAATAAACGCCCTCGCATCATCTGCCATTGTAACGTGCATACGTATATATACACACACACACACCTCACACGATTGTTAAGTGTTTTGAGAATATTACAAAAGGGGTACCCTATAATGATGCGACTGTCGCGATAGTTTACCAATGCTAGACCAACATACGTCGTATATCATATATAATGGTTTTCGTCGAGAGAGGACGGATTGGCCAAACAAAGTCACGAGGGGTACGCGCGAGCTGTAGCACTTTCCATTGTTATTATGCGATTATAAATATGTTAATGCGTATATATGCGGTGTGTATGTGATGGCGCAAAGCATAGATTTCTTGACGTCACGCCACATGAATTTTGGTTGGTTCGCAAAGGTCCGGGTGAAAGGTTGGGTTGGTCGTAAAATAAAAAATATATATATACGTACGCAAAATGAATTATTTATGGGTGATTGAGCCGATACGAAGCACTTTCCGAAGCTATGTTGAAGTAATGAAACGACAAGAATTTTGTAAATTTATCTTTGTTGTAAAAAAATATATATACATATATATAACTATCATTATCGTAACAATTTTAATTAATTATACGTAAATTGCACGCTTATTTCAAGGGCGGACATTCAATAGTTACATTCATACGGCTAAATTAATTTTTTCTTTTTTTTTTTTTTTTTTTTTTCTTTATTCATAAAAATCGAGTGCTTCAATGAGAGTTCGTCCATGCTTCGTTTACTTTTCATCCTCATGTTCATCAATGAAAAGAAGATGAAGAAAAGTGTCCGGTTAGCATATTTGAATTTATTTAATTCCAAATACAACAAAAAAACATTTGAGGAGCATAAGAAGTAATTTCGTGAGGATAAAAGTACGAAGTGATTTTTCGGTTTTTTCAACTCATACATTTGTAAAATTATATGATAACAAACATAAACAACCATACATGATAACAAAAACTTAATTGTAAGGAGCTCGTGTCACTACCATTAAAAAGTACGCATAATGTATACTTAAATTTTATAAGAACGGAATACCGATGAACCAATGAACAAAAAAAAAGTGTATTAAAACAATAAAAAGAAAATTTTATCCGATCGCGCTGTTAGTATAATCAAACAGTTTGAGAAAATCTTACACCGCGAAAGTACAAACGGAACTCTACGCACACTTGTGTTTGCTAACAAAGAAAATCGCACATGGTTCGTACGCTCAAAAATACGCGCAAGGACTTCCACAGTTTCCAACCACCCAATTCGAACAAAAATAATTTTCCGAAGAAAAAATTTTAAAAAACCCGCCGTTTTTCGAGTAAAACAACAGTGCTCCGAAAGTTTTCCTCCTCTCGTCCTTCGTTAGCTCACAGTTCTATCGGTCAATCGTTGCTAACTCTAATTTTATCAGAGCCGCAAAAACTTTCTGGAAGCCCGTTCTCGTTTTTTCTACTCGCAAACGCAACTATCGATGAGACAAACAGCCGAACTTTAACGATAACAACATCAGTAGAATACCAAACTTTGACTATTTCAATCTTCTATGAACTAGAGGTAACAGGTTAATGAGAAATAAAAACTGTTAGTTGATATAATTCATCTCTCTGTGTACGCTATGCGCCTAGAATTACTAAATGTAAGTACATTGTTGTTTATTATACGTAAGAGTATTGCATTTATACATTATTATTATTATCATCATCATCATCATCGATAAAGTTAATATGGTCTCGTAGGCTCTTGAAAATTTCTATTCTACTCGAGATATGAAAAAAAAAAAAAAAAAAAAANGTACTTTCTTAATTTTTCCTTTATAGTATATGACATTGTAAACAAAATAAGTCCCATCTCGAGGGTGTCTCAAAAAAAAGTTTTATTAAAAAACGGGGGAAAAATATTGGATATTTTTAGTGAATTTCCTTATATATACTCAGTACTCCCAGCTGACAAGTTGTACATTAAAGTTTGCAAAACTTTTCTAAAAACACTACTTAACATGGCATTGAAATTTAAATCAATAAAATTTTTTTTATACATTTCTAGACTGATAATTCAAAACGATTGTAAAAACCAAATTTTTTACTTCTTCAATGTTTTCATTTGAATAAAAACTTATGGTCACATTAATATGCATGTGTCAGAAGTTTAAAATTATTATTTATTGCTATAATAATACCTACAAATTATACATAAGAAAGAACGGACTTGCTAGGCTCATATACATTTCATTTTAATATTTAATGGGAGCTTTTAAGAATACGAATCGTTCCAGATTAAAAGTAGGAACTACAGTGGTTCACTTGTATAATAAATAATTGATAAACTAAATGACTGGCTTATTTGCGAAAAAATGTACATTCTTTACCAATAACCATTGAAGTAATTTTTTCTGTAAAACATATAAAATACAGATTTTATGTTTTTTTGATCCCAATATACCCATGTTGTTGAAAAGTTCAACCCTTTATAGTTTGTTTTTGCTGTAGTTCAAGTTAAAAGCAAAATCGATCTTTCTGGAGATATTGACAATGTTATCGGTATACATACAAGCACATTGAATACTATGTAAACTTTCACAGAAATGGAGAATTAAGAAATTTGATACTACGCATTTCATTAAACTCTGTGGCAATTTTTTTTTTTTTAATGAATACCTCGAATATTAGGTGGTGTATCGTCTCCAATTTTCGTAAGAACATTTTCTGTGTATTTTTCCCGTACACAAACTTATTAATTATATTTTTCCGATAATAGCCTGACCATATATTTATGCGTCTCCTTAATTTTGATACCTACCAGATTAGTAACAGTAGTCGGGGGTGCCATTACCACCAGGGTAGCTATTGCATAATCCAGAGCTCAATTTTCTCCGGCCTTGGAAATATAAATTTCTCTATTTTTTAGATTCTCTTCATCTTTTTTCCCCTCGTGATGGGCGTTGTAATAATCGATTTTTTTTTTTAATAACTCCCAAATGGATTCTTGTAGCAATTAGTGATTGAAACCCAACAAACTTAGTAATGAAAAAAAACGGTGTCCCCCGTTTCGCGTGTTCGCAGGCGATATACGACATGTTGGGGGCGAGCTCGAGCAACCGGCCGGCCGACAGCGCCGAGGAGCGCGCGAAAAACATATTCGCGAAAATGGACGAGAACAACGACGGCCAGTTGACGCAGGACGAGTTCCTCAAGGGCTGCCTGCAGGACGAGGAGCTATCCAAGATGCTGGCGCCTTAATCCCCGGGCCACCCGCGCCTAATCACCTCGTTGTCGCCCGTCAACGCCAACGGCCGACCCAACGGCCACCGCCTCTTCACCAGTACGACCAACGGTGCTTTCATCACCAACAAAAGCAAACCTGCTGCTGCCAATACTCTTGCAACTCATACATACACCCACCAATCGATCAAATAAACGCCCTCGCATCATCTGCCATTGTAACGTGCATACGTATATATACACACACACACACCTCACACGATTGTTAAGTGTTTTGAGAATATTACAAAAGGGGTACCCTATAATGATGCGACTGTCGCGATAGTTTACCAATGCTAGACCAACATACGTCGTATATCATATATAATGGTTTTCGTCGAGAGAGGACGGATTGGCCAAACAAAGTCACGAGGGGTACGCGCGAGCTGTAGCACTTTCCATTGTTATTATGCGATTATAAATATGTTAATGCGTATATATGCGGTGTGTATGTGATGGCGCAAAGCATAGATTTCTTGACGTCACGCCACATGAATTTTGGTTGGTTCGCAAAGGTCCGGGTGAAAGGTTGGGTTGGTCGTAAAATAAAAAATATATATATACGTACGCAAAATGAATTATTTATGGGTGATTGAGCCGATACGAAGCACTTTCCGAAGCTATGTTGAAGTAATGAAACGACAAGAATTTTGTAAATTTATCTTTGTTGTAAAAAAATATATATACATATATATAACTATCATTATCGTAACAATTTTAATTAATTATACGTAAATTGCACGCTTATTTCAAGGGCGGACATTCAATAGTTACATTCATACGGCTAAATTAATTTTTTCTTTTTTTTTTTTTTTTTTTTTTTTTTTT